ACCCTAAGCCCCAAACCCTAACCTCTAAGCCCTAAGCTCTAAACCCCTAAACCCTAAAACCCTAAACCCCAAACCCTAACCTCTAAGCCCTAAGCTCTAAACCCCAAAACCCTAAACCTCTAAACCCTAAACTCTAAACCCCAAAACCCTAAACCTCTAAACCCTAAACTCTAAACACCAAAACCCTAAACCTCTAAGCCCTAAGCTCTAAACACCAAAAACAGACTAAAACCCTGAACTCTAAACACCAAAAACAGACTAAAACCCTGAACTCTAAACACCAAAAACAGACTAAAACCCTGAACCCTAAACACCAAAAACAGACTAGAATTCCGCACGAGGCCTGCCGGAGGATTCCAGCCAACCACCAGAGGTGGGAGATTGAGACTCGAGGGCTTCGGAGTTGGGGAGTTTAGGGTTTAGGGGTTTGGGGTTTTAGGGTTTAGGGTTTAGGAGTTTGGGGGTTTAGGTTTTAGAACTTAGGAGTTTAGGGCTTCGGAGTTGGGGAGTTTGGGAGTTTAGGGGGGTTTTGGGGGTTTAGGGCTTTTAGGGCTTTCAGGGTTTAGGAGTTTGGGGAGTTTGGGGAGTTTGGGGGTTTAGGGTTTAGGAGTTTGGGGAGTTTGGAGGGTTTGTGGGCTTAGGGTTTTTGGGGTTTAGGAGTTTGGGGGGTTGGGGGGTTGGGGGCGTTTAGGGGCTTCGGAGTTTGGGGAGTTTGGGGGGTTTGCGGCTTTTAGGGTTTAGGCTTTCGGAGTTTAGGAGTTTGGGTGTTCAGGGTTTAGGGTTTAGGGTTTAGGGTTTAGGGTGCCAGAAGGGCTTCGGAGTTTGGGGGTTTGGGGTTTTTGGGGGTTGACCTTCTGCTGTCCGGCTGCGGGTTTGGGGCTTAGGAGGTTGAAATTCAGCTTAGGGACTACCTTAACCGCAAATAACCTACCTTTTTAAGGACTCGTATGAAGACATCATAACAAGGGACCCTAGAAGGGTGGGTTCTTTAGGGTCCAGGTAGTGTTCAAGAGTTAGGGGGTCTAGGGTTCTACGGGGGTCTTGCGGTATTTTAGTTGCAAGGGTTCTGTCATAGGCTATAAGGGTTCACTTCTGTGAGTTCTAGAAAGGTTCTGTACGGATTCTAGAGAGTTGCGGTATTTGTTGCATTAAGGGTTCTTAAAGGGTTCTATGGGGTTCGGATGATAATCATTAAACAAGGGTCTGGTGGTCGTTCGTTCTTTTGGGTTTGGAAAATCTTCCATGCGTCGCGTCCGAGAGATCGCAGTCGCTGTCGTCGTGCTGCTCTCCTCCTCCTCCTCCTCCTCCTCTTCCTTGTCCTCCTCCGCCTCCTCCTCCTCCTCCGCGTCCTCGTCCTCCGCCTCCTCCTCCTCCTCCGCGTCCTCGTCCTCCGCCTCCTCCTCCTCTTCCTCCTCCTCCCTGCCGTCTAGGTCGCATAGCAGCACCCCTGTACGCTTTTTATTTGGGCCTCCTCCCGCCAAGAGAAAGGGCACAACTAGCTTGCAAGTCCCTACCGTAATTTAGGAACATTAGCAGCCTCGGAAATACTACACCATGCGACCCAAAAGGTGGACCTGGATTCAACCCTCGTGCCGCTACTGGAAGAGGTGGACGAGGTGGTCGTACAAATGATCGGTTGGGCTTAACCCTAAGCCCTAAACCCTAAACCCTAAACCCCAAACCCCAAACTCTAAACCCTAAACCCTAAACCGCACACCTTGTAAACCCTACACTTCACGGTTGAAGATTCAATGGTTCTCCGAAGTGGGATCCCTTGTTTGTGTGGTCCTTTCTCGAGGATCCTTATTGCCACGCCTTCTGTTGGGAAACTCCCATGGGGCCTGAAGTTTGGAACTCAACTCTAAGCCCTAAACCCTACACCCTAAACCCTAAACCCTAAACCCTAAACCCTAAACCCTAAACCCTAAACTCTAAACCCTAAACCCTAAACCCAAATTTCTGGGGTCTTTAGGGTTGCTTCAGCTTACCTTAGGGGCCCTTTTGTCGAGGGTCCGGTGATTTGGAGTTCTCCCGTTTGTGAAGCTCGTTCTTAAGCCGGTAATCTCCCATAAGAGTTGAGTTTGGGCCTAGATTTAAAGGAAACTACAGGTGAGGAGTTTAGGATATATAGGGCTGCTATAAGGCTTCCATAAGGTATATAGACCTTCTGCAAGGCTGCTATAACGGTAACTACCCACCTGAAAATGTCCTAGATAGATTGGCAACGAAAAGCAAGCTCAAGAGCCTAAATCGAGAGTATCAGTTGTATCTCTGGACGCCTGCAGTGTTACGATTCGTGGCCACCCTCGTGCCCTCAACCCCAAACTCAATCAACAGCAGCAGCAAGAACTGCATTTTCCATCGCACTACGTGCTCGTATGTCCAAGGGAAAGCGAGGAACGGATATTTTATCCACTTGGACTATGACATTGCCGTGGAGCAAGGCTACAGACCATGCTTTAGATGTTTCCCAGAAGCGAGGAAGCTGATTCAGCATACTCAAGACGAAGATGCTACAGCACTTACATGTGCAACGTGTATCAGGTTAACGTTTACCGCACATCCATCATTCAAATGTGAGCTTTCGACTTTCCGGGAAAAAGGGCATCATCGACACGAAGGTGGCGGGTCACACTGTGAGCAGACCGGCCAGTGTGGCTTCGGGCATGGAGCGGGACAAGCTCGTGCTGGCAAAAGAAGGCCTTCACGTCTTCAAGTTTACGATCCCGGCGGCAAAGGGTGTGAAGGCCACCCTAAACCCTAAACCCTAAACCCTAAACCCTAAACGCGCAAAACCTTCCATTCCCAACACGAAGAAACCCCGAGTTTCAGGTCCAGGCCTGCCGAACGAGTCGGGCAGACTCCTAACCTGAGTGTTCAGGGTTTCCTAGAGAGCCCAATACCCCTTAACTAAGGTTTAGGGTTTGGGGTTTAGGGTTTAGGGTGTAGGGTTTAGGGTTTAAGGTTTAAGAAATATACCTTAAATCATAATGTTAAGGCCCTTATAATTTAAGGAAACTGCTTAATTAAGGGGTATTGGGCTCTCTGGGTTCAGGGTTTAGGTCTTATTGTCTGAGCTCTAGAATCTATGTGATTGTCTGCGCTTTGGAGTACCATACTTTAACACTTTTTTGAGGGGCCTGTTCCTTAAGGGAACCATTATGAAGTTAAAGTCTATACTTTTTTGCCCTGGTTACTTCAAAGTCTAGTTGTAGACTGGGTCCACGTGGACCCCGAATTGCACTCGATCCGGAATCCTGTATCTCAGGTTGAACCCATGGGCCCCTAACATGGGCCCTTAGGGGATTCTAGGGTCCCTTAAGGGTATATATAGGGTATATAGTAGGTATATTGGGGTCCTAGGGTTAAGGGCCCATGGGTTCTACCTTAGACTGTAGGAACGCCCGATGGATTCGGGATTGAGGATGTGGGGTTCATTGGGTCCTGTCCAGTTCCCGGAGAGCCCAAGACCCCTTAATTAAGCAATATACCTTAAATTATAAGGGCCTTATTATTATGATTTAATTAAATTGTTTAAATAAATTAAATCAATTAAATTAGCTGAATTAGCTGTATTAGATGTATTAATTACATAATACTATGACTTAAGGTATATTTCTTAATTAAGGGGTATTGGGCTCTCTTTTGGTTAGGAAAACCCGACACTGTCAACCCGGAACTGAAGTACCAGGCGTATCGGCTGGTTTTCGTGGATGGCGAGCTGCAGTCAGGCTGGAGAATTGTGTTCGGTATGCTGTTGCACGGATTTTCTAAAAGAGCTGTACCTGCTCGAATATTGGCCTAGAGCTGTGGTGAGATTTGGGTTCGTGCACACAGATGCCATGCGCTCACAGGCAAACCAGTGTAGAAGCTGCCTCGAAAACCCTAAACCCGAAACGCCTTATACTTAAACTAACAAATTCACTAGGAAAGCTTACATGGCCCTCAGGACCCGAAACTCCTAGAAACGATTGGAGTCCCGAATCTTGCACAAAAAACTGAAAAGTAAGACTTGCAATCCTCGACAAAGGACCGGCTTCAGGCTCCAACCAGCAAGAGATTGCAGAGAAACGGTTTAGGGTTTAGGGTTTAGGGTTTAGGGTTTAGGGTCCCAAGCCCCAAAACCTTAGCGGTTTAGGGTTTAGGGTTTAGGGTTTAGGGTTTAGGGTTTAGGGTTTAGGG